ACATTTAAGGCTATTCATCATCTCTCTCCTCCATATCTCTCTGATCTGGTTCAGATCACTGCCCCATCTCGGTGTCTTAGATCTTCTTCTTCCCTTTCTCTCTCAGTCCCCTCCCCCTGTCTTGCCACCATGGGGAGCAGGGCTTTCAGCTGCTCTGCTCCTCGACTCTGGAATTGCTTACCTCCTGATATAAGAAATATCTCTTCCTTCTCTCTCTTTAAGTCCCAACTCAAAACTCACTTGTTCAAAATAGCTTATCCCACATAACCTCTCCACTCTATTTTAAATTTGTTTTATGTCTTATGCTTTTATGATTGTGTAAACTTGCTTTTATGTTGCTTTTATTATTCTACTGTGTACAGTGTTCTTGAGTGTTCACAATTTTTTCCCTAAAACCTAAAAAAAAAATCAAAGGAAAGATAATGTATCTCCATCTTAAAGAGAATAATCAAGAAACAGCTCTGTGTTGGGCTAAACCCCCTTTAATGATGACAATAAAGCCACTATGCTGTGGTCAACATCATGACCTGGCTTCCACGTTACTCAATGAGAGAAGCTGTGGCACCTGACTTTTTAGTCCGTGGCGCTACTGTAACAACAATTAAATATCAATTGAGGAATTAAAAAAATATCACAGTGCTCTAGTTTTTATTCCAATGTAATGGTAATAAGGTACTGGTGGGAGCATAAATATCAATATATTTAGAAAGTACTCTTGCTTTTTAGCTGTTTAAAATGAACACATCCTCCAACATCATACCAAACTCCCACTACTTCATAGCACCCATGGCAGTTTCCTTCCTGGGAATTTTGCCATAAAAGGAGTCCAAAAACACCTGGACTGGTTGGGCAGTTCCTTGTTTTTTACTATATGGATATATTTTTAAAAATATTTCATATTTAAATAAGGTTAGTAGCCAGAAGTTTATTATTTAGGTCAGTCAACCAACACAGGCCACATTTCTACATATATTAATCATTCTAGATATAACACATAAAGTTATTTTTTCAATATATCTATGTTTGTCATTTACAAGTCCATGCTTCTGTGCCTGTCTCCTGTTTCCTGTTTTACTTTGATAGTCTTATGTCCTATGTTAGTGTATTAAGTTTTGCTTCCTCCCCATCTTGTTACGTTTGATCCTTCCCAGCTGTATTCCTCCTGTGTTCCCTCCCTTGTGTATTTAGCCCTGTGTTTTTCTCTGCCTGTGTTTTTCTCTGTCCGTTGTCGCGTTGGTATCTTCATTTAACTGTGTGTCTCTCCTGTGGTCTTTTCTGAGTGGTCCTAGGTAACTCCCCGCCCCAGTTTCTTGTTTTTCTAGCTCCCTAGTTTTAGTTTCCTGTTTATGTTATGTTTTGTGTTTTCTTTGCATGAATGTTCACAGCAAATAAAGCTGCCTCTTTGAGTTATCCCCATGTGTGTTGAAACCTGCATTTGGGTCCACATTCTGCCTGCCACAGCACAATGCATGACAATGGCATTATCAGGAGTGAGATAAGATGCTGTCCCTAACTCCTAAACAGAATCCCTAACGCCCTGACCCCGTGACCCAACTTTAACCCTAATTCCACAACTGGCAAGAGGGGATCAGTATGCTGATTGTATTTGTAATACATCTTTGTATATTTTAACCTTAATCTGAATTATCAGACTCCTCCGTGGCAGTAGGTGTGAAAATGGTAGGTGGATAGAGTAGGTTTTAAAAATGAAAAATATGCATATATTTAAGAACATTGTTTTCTCACTTATAACAGATGTACCATCTGTAAACTCCAAAATGTTGTTCTCTGCGGGTTAGACTATCTACTGATATTTTTTACTTTTTTAGTATAGTAGTGAGATTTGTTTTCCAGTTAGGCTGGGGATACATTTTCCTGAAAAACCCCCAAAACAAAACAAAAAAACACACATGGGGGTCTTTTTTTATTTTATTTATATGCTCCACTGCTTATTGACTGGTACACACGAACAAGACCATATAACCCCCATATTTGCATCCTTACACTGGCAGCTGATTGTAGAATTGAGTTTAAGATTTTAATTGCTTTTAAAGCATTGCATGGGTTGGCGCAGTCTTACTACTGAACTTTTAAGTTTGCACATTCCGTTTAGATCACTGAGGTCTGCTGAGCAAATTCTCCTAACTGTCCTGAGTTTCAGATTAAACTGGGCCTTTGCAGTTGCTGTTCCGAAAGTTAGGACCCAACTATCTGTCACATCGGGCACTCTGTCCTATGCCTTGTTATTTGATTATGTTTGACACACAGCACTTTGGTCAACAGCTGTTGTTTTTAAATATGTTATAGAAATATTACTTGACACATTTTTTAAATTTATTTTAAAATGATATTAGATAACATCCAGAAGTTATCATTAGTTCTCTTTCACAACGTGTAGTTTTATTATTTATGTGTTATCACACATGGGGATTTTACGGGACTGCTTGATTTTTTTTTCATATTTTAAATGTTCAGACAGTTTTTGATGCCTCTATCACAAATTCATTTTGATGGAAATAAAGATCAGTGAAAATTTCAACCTTTTTAATCGTTTTTGAGATGATCATGTTCTAACATTGTCTTTTGTTTAAAAAACAGCAACAACAACAAAAAAAGCATGAAAGTGGGTGGAAGTCTTTTTAAAAAAATGCATAAAATATTGAGGCTAAAATGATCAATACATACCCAAACTTTGGTTAGTTTGTTTTTTATGCTGATTTCAGATGGCAAGACCCAATCTGACCCAAGGTCTTCAAAACAAAAAAATCACTTAAATAACAAAAATATCTTCTGAATTATATTTAAATTATCATCTGGAAAACCCAGAATTTTGTTCTATTTGGATAGGACAATCTATTAATATTTTTTTGTGGTTCAGTTTCTCATATTTGCTCAATCCAACATGAAGGTTTAATGAAAATAGCATTTTCTTCATTTGCATTTATTATCGTGGGCTCGAATATAGACAGCTTTAGTTATTTTTCATATTTTAGCAAGCCAATAATGTACCTGGTGAAGTTTTCAAATTGCAGATTATGATTTGTTTTTAGCTATTAGATAGAGCAGACTGATTCTGAAAGTTTAAAGCAATTTCTTGATGCATGCTCAATCATCCAGGTAAGTAAATCTCCAAAAGTTGATTCTGTTCATCTGCACGTAGCGTTTAAAGCAATTTGATTTATGAAGCTAAAGTTACACAGCAATCATTATATATGTTCAAACTTCGTAAGACAGATGAGTAGAGTAGTCTGCCTTACTCTAGTAGAGTGGCAACCTATCCTGTGTTCATCACCTCTCACTCTGTTAATAGGTTCCTGGTATGCAGTAATACTGCATACCAGGAACCTACACTGAAATTTCTACACTGAAATTTTTCAGTGATGAAACATTCAGTATTCAGTAACATGAAATTTAAGAACTTAATTTACTTTTGCAATAATGCAACAAAAACATTGCGACAAAGAATATTATTAATACATTACTTTTTACTTGAACGAATAACATTAAGCTATGGCTGTCACTAGGGAATTATCAAAATCCCACAACTTTATGTAGCCATATTTGAATATTTTACATAGTAATCACAATAATACAAAGTTAATATTTTTTGCCAAAAAAGAGAGCATAAACCATTGCTAAGTGTTTTTATGCAAATCCATCCTTTTTTTAAAAAAGAAAAAGAAAAAAGGGAAAAAGAGAAATCAGGTACATATTGTAATACTAAACTTCTGAGCTCTTTACCTCATTTTTTTCCAGGCTGCACTCAGACAAGGCCTTGTCTCCTTGTTCCTGGAAGGTGATGATGATTAGAGCAACAAAGATGTTGACAAAGAAGAAAGGGAAAACGACAAAGTAGACCACGTAGAAGATTGACATTTCTATCCGATAGCCTGGACTGGGACCCTGGTCTTCAAAGGTAGCATCCACGGAGTGCTTCAGAACACTGCAGCAAGGAAGGTACAGGAACATATCCATACAATCACTTTAAGCTAGTCATTATAAACTATATAACTCAGGCTAGGAAACGTTTCTGTGTGTGTTTCCCAAGAGAACAAAGTGAAACAATTCTTTAGTTAAAGCAAAGTAAAATTAGCTATTAGCTAGAGCAGACTACATGATATTGGGGATTGTTGTGTGTCTTCCCCCTCTCCTCACTTTCAATATCCAATAAAGGCAAATTGCAAAAAACTAAAAAACAAACAAAAATAAAACAAAAGCCTTCAGGTTACGAGAAATAAGCTGTATATACAGTGGGTAAAACGAATACTGAACACGTCACCAGTCTTCTGTATATATATTTCTGAAGTTGCTGTTGACATGAGATGTTGACATGAATTACTACCAGAAGTTGATAACAACCCATCCAGTTCACACATGCAAAGAAATCAGACACTGATATCCCTGAATTAAGTTATATATACTAATGACAAATGACACAGGGAAAAAGTAGTGAACACGCTTATTGAAACTAGTTGTACGCATTGGCTTCAAATCCTTGAGGTTATTTTTCTTTTCCATAGATGAGATTGGATTCAGGTTAGGTAATTGACTGCACGATTCTATCAGTTTTATTTTCTTTCTCTGAAACCAGTTGAGAGTTTCCTTGAGTGTGTGTTTGGGATCATTGCCTTCCTGAAACATCCACCCTCATTTCATCCCCGTCATCCTGTTAGATGGCAGCAGATTTTTTATCAACAATGTCTTGATACACTGATACATTTTTCCATTGATCCTTCCTTCAATAAAAATAAGTGGTGCCAGTGCAGTATGATGAAAAACAGGCCTCACACCATGATGTTCCTTCCTCTAAACTTCACTCTTGGGGTTGTATGTTTGAGGTGATAAGCTTTCCCATTTAACCTCAAAACATGGTGTGTATTATGGCATAGCCCTAAAGAATGTAGCTTCATGGACAGTGTAGTCCCTTCTGCAGGGAGAATGGACTGCCGTACCCGTTATGTGTCCGTGAGCAGGGGAGGGAGAAAAAGGAAAAGTACGAGCTGTCATCGAGCAGAAACGGGAGCTGGAAGCATGTAAATATAATAATAACCACTGCAGCCAAAAAGAGTGCTTGACGAGCCCAGTTATAGGTAAGCTATTAAGACTCGGCTGTACACTTTTTTCGTGTTTTCCTCCGAAAAAAATAAGTTCCGTTGGAGCAGCCTTTCAACGCCTCTCTCTGTCTCTCGCTAGCAAAGTTGACCCAGACAACAAAGTAAAGCTAGTTTTCAGCTATGAGACCGACGCGGAACCCAACGTATTAGCCAGAGGTCCCTTTACTACGGTTCGGAGCCGCGGACCTGTTTTATATACGCGTGGAATCGTTTTCTATAGGAAATCGCTGCAAAAAGTGCAGCCTTACCTAATGTCCACCCTACTGTTACTCATTTATATTAAGATTTAAAAATCTAGTCGGTATTGGTATGGCGAGTAACCTTCAGTAAAAGTCATAATTCACACAGCAATAGTACAGTCATGTAGTTGTAAAAAGCATGATAGGTAATCCAAAGTATTCAGAATACGTTACTGTCATTGAGTAACGTAACGGAATACGTTACAAAATACATTTTGGGGCATGTAATCTGTAATCTGTAGTGAAATACATTTTAAAAGTAACCTTCCCAACACTGGTTGTGGCCAGTTTATGGTGAAATGTTCTTTCCACTTCCACATTATGGGCCTAAAAGTGCTCACTGGAACCTTCAGCAGTTTAGAAAATTTTTCTGTAACCAATTGCACCAGCCCATTTTGCAATAAGGTTATACAGTTGAGAGAGCTCACTAGTTTGTCCATCATGAGATGTTTTTTGTATAGACACCTATTTATAGGCCATCAGCTGAGACTGAACGAGTTAATATTAATTTGCACTAAGTGGCAGGATTGCTTTCTAATTACTGATACATTTCAGCTTGTGTCATGACTTTTGATGCCTTTTTGTATTTCCTGTTTTTCATGTGTTCAATATTTTGTCTCTCTGTCATCTGCGGTTTGATTCTTTGCATGTGTGGACTGGTTGGATTGTTACTGACATCTTTTGAGAATGTCATGTCAATAGCACATTTCGAAATATATATAATATAAAATTAGTGGCATGTTCAATACTTATTTTACCCACTGTAATGGATTTTGAGAAGAAGTCCTGGCCAAGCGTTATATATCGTTTTACAGAAAATTACTCACAGAACTATCTATGAAATAAAAAGCACTGGAGTTCTTTCAATTTGTTGAAGACATTTCATCTCTCATCTGTGAAACTTCTGAAACTTTCATTTCCACCATTCATTAAAAAATAATGGAGAGTTCCAGGTATTTAAACACTAGTGAGAGTTATCCCTTAAAGAGGGTTGTTGACCCACTATTGATCAGACAGCTCATCACATGAGCCAAGGTGTGAAAAAGGGTCTGGGTCATTATTAGCAGAGATTTCAGGTAAACCATTGTGAGATGTTGCCTCACCCTATCATGTGACCTATTGAGATCACCTGATAGAAGATGTGAGTGGGCATTAAGGCACCTGGGAAGGGTTCTCAAAACTGGATTGTAGATGGCAGACAGTTGGTGTTGAAAGACTATGATGTAACAGTGTTATAACACTGGGAAATGTATAAAAAAATTTATAGGAAGTTTATAGGAAAATATTTACAAAAGCAAATCCTGGTTTGTAAAGTCTTATTATCTATAATCCAGTTTTGAGTTCCCTCCCCAGACGCC